AGCGATGGTAGCAGCATGGATGGCAAAGTCAGGTGGTCGGTCGGTCCACCACTTCTGGTCCAGACAACAGGATGGGCTGCCATAACATTTTGTTCAGGCATTCATGGGCTCTACAGGATACATCTTACAGACGTTAGTCACTCACTTTTCCTCTAGTGCAAACATCAGGTCAAAACTTCCAATGTAGTACTTTGGTTTTATGACAAAATGCCTACAAAACTAATAGCATTTCATCACCCTGAGGGTAGTGCTGATTAGCAAATGTTAGCATGCTAACACCCTTTACTAAAATACGGAGGCAGAGAAATGAATAAGTGCCAGTACTCCCCTTGTTCACATGTTGCCGTGTGTGTTGGCCGGTATTAGCAAACTCTTTCTATTTAACGATTATTAATTTTAGCATGTTGTACTGTCAGTCATAATCTGTTGTGATTTTATTGGCACAGAGTTTGATCATCTTAAATAACTAAAACTTACGAATACAAAAGGAATAGTTACATTTAGATTCCTGGTTTGAGATTATTCCAGCTGTGTGTCATACCTCTTTTATGTTGCGGGTGCCAAACAGACGCACCACAAAGGATACGCCGGTGTTTCTTTGCTCTCAGCTCCTTCAGAAGCCTCCTCTCTCCTTGCTCTTTGTCTCCTCAGGGTGCATTTAAAGGATTGGAAGATCCTACATGATGGCGGACAGGGCACGATTTCTTGGTCAAGCGAGTAGAGAGGATGTTCCTATGGCTCGTGAAGCATAAATTAGCTGTCAAAAATTCCTTTCAGGTTAATCTGCACCCGGTCAACCTAAATAATAGAATATAATATACTGCTAAGTGTCGTGTTCGAACCATTGAATGTATATAATAAGTGGACGTATTCATCGTGACATCACCCATTGGTTTGTGGACTGCTGTTTTGAAGCCTCGAGTTTGGTGATTTCGCCGTCGCCATCTTGGAATCCGGCTGTTGCCAAGTTGTTGTTTTTTTGCAACCAATGAACAGAAGTTACCATATTTGGATTGGGAGGAGTGACGTAACAGAGTTAAAAATGTACTTTATTATTTCTTATTGTAATATTTCAATTTTGTTTGTCTTTTAACGATTATGTTGCGTATGTGTGAATTTTATCTTAATGAGCTATTTTTTATTTAACGTTATTTTATGTTGTTAATGTTTCCTGCGGAAGCGGCGTCTCACCTCTTCTGTACCTCCTAAGCTCCCGTAGTCCCGTCTTCCCCTCACAATGGTGTTTTGTATTATTGAGGATAAGTTGTGTGGAAGAATGTTGTTGCACTGTTTTGAGAGAACGTGACATATATGGCTCTGGTAGCTGGAGCGACCTGTCAGTCACAGTAGCCTTGTTCTAAAACATACTCTGCTTTATGGTCTATTTGACTCTAAATGGACCATAATTTACTAAATGAACATCATGCTGTATTGAAGAAGACTTGCAACTAGAGATTGAGACCATAAACTCATGTTTACAATGTTTACTGAGGTAATAAATCAAGAGAGAAGTAGAGCCATTTTCTCATAGACTTCTATACAATCTGACTTCTTTTTACAATTGGAGCCCCCTGCTGGTCAGTAGAGAGAATACAAGTTTTAAGACACTTCCGCATTGGTTTCACTCAGCAGAAGCGGAGGTTACTCACTGATATTATATCACTGATATTTTCTGTGCACCACACAGTAGAAATACTCATCCGGAATCCTTCACCTCTGGCAAAAACAGTAATGCTTTCATCTCATATTGTTGCTACAGTATGTACATGAGCACTGCAGTTACTGTGACAGATTCTGCTGAGGTTAATTGAAAAATGCCGAGCTGACTTTTGATGTTGAGAATTGAAAATAGGAGTTAATAACTGGTGCAGTTGAGTGGCTCTCTCTTTCATGTTGGAGCGCTCTACGCGTGACAGCCACCAGGCAAACTCAGTGCTGACTACATCAGTTTTGCAGCGATCATACAAAGATTTCATTAAACATGGCTAAACTTTAATGCTGTGTGTTGTGATGCAAATTAAAGCAGACATTTAACCACAGATGGTGTTGAAGCAGCTTCTCACCAAAAGACTATGTTTTATTTCAATGAAGTGTTCTACAAATAAAATTAACTTTCAATATTTAGTGGAGGTTTAGTCAAATGAACATCAGCTGCCTGTGAGGCACCAAAGACCATCCTCTCAGATAAGCAACATGAAGGCGTGAAGCCAAACATTTTGAACATAAATTGGCTCACAAATGTGCACAGTAAAAATAAAAGGGACCACTTCCATACACACTTCTCCTGTAATATGGTTAAAGCTGAATAAAACAGCTCTCTGATGGAGCTAAGTGAGTCATCTTAGGGCTTATTGGGTTTACTGTGGGATACGTTATCGCGCTACTTTACTGTAGTATTGGTTATCTGGGGATTTAGTATTACACTTCAAAAAAGTTCGGGAATAACTAAATATTATGGAGCAGTGGGCTGCTGTAAAGCACCCGGGGAGCAGCTTGGGGTTAAGTGTCTTGCTCAAGGACAGTAGGAGACGGGGATCGAAACGCCAACCTTGTGGTTTGAAGACTGGCCTTCACTGCAGATGAGCTAACTGCTATCGCATTTTTGCCCCTATCTGAGATTCTTGTTTTCAGTCAGAGTGAATATCTTCGGGTCTTTTCATCATTTACGCTGCCTTGATGTCAATTTTGACAAGATAAGCATTTGTTCAGCCGCACTGCTGTACAGAATCTGACAACAAACAAACTGTCTTTTACATAGTAAATGCATTAGAAAGGGATCTTTTAATGGCCAGTACGAACAGAAGGAATGATTAGAGCAAACAAAACTGTTTTTAATGTGCAATTGGGCATCTCACTATTGACTTGAAAAGTAGTGAACCTATCCTTTAAGGTGCAAATAACGTCCAGCTTAGTGACGCTGCAATCAGAGTACAGACATGCACGGTAGGATAATGGATATGACCACATTTACAGTATGTCTGTGGTTGTACCTGATTATATTGTACCAACTCAAAACATGCCTGTCCAGAACTAAACAGGCCGAATGCTTGGCCTGTGGTGTTGCTGTTTTTTTCGACAACCGCTCATCCAAACAGCGTCACACTCAACACTGAGTCTGAGCCCGTTGCAGCACCCGTCTCTTTAGGCCCCCTCCCTCCAGATAAAGCCCAGTCTGCTCTGATAGCATGCGAGAAAAATACAGTGCACCTTTTCAGATTAGTAGGGTTTTGGTGATTGTGATGGTACAGAAGGAAGATGATGATAAAAAACATAAGAATGAAGAATTGTTTTATATTATGAGCAAACCACTCCTTACAGTAAGTCAACCGTTTTTATTGACTAAAACTATGCTAATAAGTTCAGGTCTTTGACTAAATTAAGTAAACTAAAATTAAAATCAAAGTTGAAGTTGACTGAATTTGACGAAAAAGGATATTTAACACATGACAAAGACTAAATAAAAGAATAGCTGACAAAATGATTGTCTTTCGCTGCTTTGAATTTGTCATCTCAAATGTATGCAATACAATTTCAAATTGGAGCCATACTCTTTCGATTCTTGAACCAAACAACCCAGCAAGAGGACATGGTGGATGTCCCAATGATGGCAGTGTCAGCAGCCGGAATCGGGCCAGTATTTTTTTGGCCAATGACATCAACAGGGTCGTTGTTTTGGTATATTTGGCCAATGACTTTGGCTGAACTAGATTAACTGATATTAAAAGTTAAAATGTCAACAGTTTTCATTATCTAAAACTATACTAAATAAGTTTGGGTTTTCTTTTACTAAGATAAGACCAACAACCTTGACTTCTCACCTGTTTAACATCGTGTTTTCAACAGAATTGTTTGTGGTTTAAGCGAACCACTCCCTAAATGCCTGAACAGATTCCTCTTCCAACAGCTCTGTGTATGTCTGCATGCGTTTGTCACCACACAAACGGAATAAGATGTTTTGCAGGAAATTTGTGTCGCGTGAAGAGAATGTTTCTACAGGAGCAGTTTGACATTTTGTAAAATACACTTATTCAGTTTCCTGCTGAGAATTAGATGAGAAGACTGACACCACTCACAAGTGTGCAGGGTAAATCCTGTATGTAGCTAGAGCTACGGTTAGCTCAGTTTAGCCCAAAGACTGGAAACAAGGGGAAACAGCAAGGCTGGAGGGTGGATCTGATAACCTTTCGACAGAGCCAGGCTAGTTGCTTCCAGGCTTTATGATAAACTAAGCTAAGCTAACCAGCTGCTGGCTGTAGACTTATTATTTTCTTGTGTGTTTTTAATGATTTTAATCAGTTTGAGGCCCAAATAGGCCAAAAATAAAAGATAAATATATGCGTGAATGCAGATTTATTGAGTAGAAAATAAATTGTCTCTCATTAATCATCTCACAAACCCCCATATTTTCCTGCTGACCCTTTGGAGTGGAACATACTCCTATAGTAGGTTGGGAACATCTGGACTAAACTACCTAACCTTGTATAAGTAGTCAAACTAGCTCCTGCTCAAAAGACTACATCTGAGTCAAATATATCAGTCAAAGGGGCCATTGTTCTGCAGAACCTTTTGATACATTAAGTACATTTTGTTTATTCACTTTGTACGATTTGGAACGCACTCACCAATTAATGTTCTAACCAGCACAAAAACAAACGTATCCTCCCATATTAACTCTGCGTTCCACTGAGATCACCACCCTTCTTTTTGTTTTTGTAATGTTGGCCAGTGCAAT